AATCTAAGTTCAATCCTGATCTTGTTATTCCTTTACCCGCGGTGTTGCCTCGATCATTTTCTTTATTATCCGACTTGTGATGTTGCCTTAATTGATTCCTTATTTTTCAACTCGTGATGTCATCTTGGTAATTTTCTTTATCACTCGAACTGTGGTTAAAAATTCATAAAAAAAAAACAAAAGAAAAACTTTTGAGAAATCCATGATTTGCTTCCGGACAAAATCATTGTCTTTGTCTTTGCCATATTCCTGATTCTCAGTAATGTGCAAAGAGGGGCAGCTGTAGACACCGGTTTTGTCCGGTATATATTTATATATATATAACAATAATGATTTTAATAATAATAAAATTGGTTTAATTAAAATTAAAAATCAATTAATTATTAAAAAAATAGAACATAACAGAAAAAAGAAAAATCGAAGATGGCAGTGGTGCCTTTCCTGGTACCACTACCACCAGGCCCTACACCCCACCCTTCTGATCATATACCCTACCTTCCCCCCCCTCTGATCACCCATCTGGCTGACAACCACTACCCTCACTGTCAAATAAGACAGAAACAAATAATAGGGCATAGGGCTCATGCTTACACCCTATGTCGAGCCCTGTGCCCTTCCCTCAAATACACGCATGGTCGGTCGGAGCTCTATATATAGAGCTCCTAGCCAAACCAAAAAATACATAGAGAAGGAGGGACGTTGTAAAAAAAATACTACTTAAAAAATAAACAAAAAAAACACAGTCCTTCCCATAGGGAGGAACCTCAGCGCCGAAGCTCCTTATAAGAATAAAAAATCATATTAGTCTTCGTTTTACAAAGAAAAAAAGGGGAAACAAAAAACTCAAAAAAGTTCAAACCTCGATTTATGCCGATCGGGGCTTGTTCTTTTGAAAAGAAGGTCGGATCTATGTTCAGGGAACCGAGGGGAACGTTTTGGTGTTTTTTAGAAATTTTTTGACCACCGGTAACGGCGGCTGGTGACTAGCGAATGACGGAGACACCGTCGGCTGGCCATCTATGTTTGGCCAAAGAAAAAAAAAAGGATTTTTTTTCTTCTGGAAAGGAAAAATGAATGAAAAAAAAAATTTAACTTTTATATAGAACATCAATAGCCAAAACGATGTTATTTTTAATAAATGCCCAAAATGATGTCATTTTAAACACTCAGGATCCGCGCATCAACCCGCGACCCGACCCAGGGTCCGCGCACCTGACCCGCGACTCGCTTCTCCATCAGCCTCTGACCGGTCTGACTAAACTAGAATCGAACTGGTACCGAACTGCTGAACCAACCAAACCATGCCCAGATTGAGTCGAACCGCACCCGAACGGTTGGACCAAATCTTTCAACTGAACCACGCGTCAAACCGAACCTTTTTCAGTCCAACCGAACCGCCGTTGACGGTCCGGTTCAGGTAAAAAAATTTTTTTATTATTTTCTAATTTTTTTATATATTATTATTTTTGTTATTTTAAGTATTTTTTTTTTATATTTATGCATGATAAGTTTTAAATTTGTTAGATAAGTTTTTTAATTATTTTAATAATAATAAAAATGAAAATAAGTATGATAATGATTAAAATATATATATATATTAAAAATGCTTAAAAATAATAATAACAATAATAATACAATAATTATTATTTTCCCCGTCTAGATGTTGGAGGGAATAAAAAAATATTTTTCTAAAGAATTAATTTCGCCTAGATGTTGGGAAGTCATTATTAATAATTTTTTATAAAAAAAAATATATAATAACTTTTTTATTAATTTTCAAAAATCATTAAAATCAAACTTGCTCCGAAAATCTGCTTAGATGTTGTTGTTCTTTTTTCTGTTCTGTTCTTTTTTTAAAATAATTAATTGATTTTTATTTTTAATTAAACCAATTTTGTTATTATTATTAAAATTATTATTGTTATATATATAAAAAAATATACCGGACAAAATCAGTGTCTACAATAGTGACTAGACATCTATTAAAAAACTCTAATTATTCCCACCTATTATTTTGTTCATTATAATTAAATCCTATAAATACATTAATTTCTCAACAATTTCTTAAAAGGACAATAATAAGACTAGCTAATAAATAAGTTTTCATTTAAGTTGTGATTTCTACGGATTTTTTTGTCCAAATTTCACATAAAATTTTAGCGGAATGGCATTAATTCATAAAACAAAAAAAACTAGTAATATATACTAATAAATAAATAAATTACATATTAAACAAATAAACAATTTACATATTATTCATTTGACATCAAATAATAATATAATTAAAAATAATATAATAAAAAAATATTATTCAATAATTTTATTTTTTTAATCAAACATAACCAAAATAAACACATAAATTTAATCTTATCCAAAATTTATCAAGTGATTAAAAAATCACTTTTCTTTAAAAAATGTTCGACTCCCTAAATTAAACATCTCCTAAAAGTTAAAATTTTTAAAATACCATTCTCGTCATACAATATCAAATTATTGAGATTTACGAAGATTAGCTATCACGTCAACATCATATAATGAGGTATTATTATTATTACATCAATTACGTTAGTACAATAATTGAGTCAATGTGTAAGTATAATAATTGATAATTTTAGAATGATATGTTATTTAGATATTTTTAGAATTGTATTTATTGTAAAAAGATGATGGATATTTTATAATGTAAATTCAAATTTATTATATCATACATAATTTGTCATATAGATTAGATATGAAAAAATATTATATTAAATATATTTTAGAGGCATTTTATAAACTATTTGTAGATACTAAATTTGTCGGGATTTCAATTTAAATTTCTTAATTCTGACGAGTTTTTAGGTTGAAGCCTGATTTTTTTTTTAGGTTTAAGCTCACCGTTTAATTTTAAATTTTAAATTTAATTTTATTACTTATATCAAAATACAATAATATTAATAATAATCCATTAATTAAACAAAAAATACAAAAAAAAAACAACAAAAGCAAGAAAACAAGGGGTTAGTGCCAGTGGGTGCCACGCACGGCATCACTGGCCACACACGGCTGCTGATAAAAAAAATGTAATATTGGAGAAAAAAGAAAAGAGACTGGCACGCCTCAAAGGGCAAAATTTGATTGATGGAAAAATGGTATTCCCTTATTTGTATAAAAACATTGTGTTCATGTGGGTATGTCTATCCTGGATCAACAGAGGTCAAACAAAAGGAACTGGTAGTGGGATTGGAGGAAGTCTTTTCTTGATTTTAAATTGAAACAGAGGAAAGAGTCATGCAAAATGAGATCTTTTTAGGTTAAGAGACCTAAGAATGGTGTACCATTTTGTTATCCTTAAACCTTTTAACTCAAAAATTCCAATTACTTCTGCCCAAGAGCATGCGAAGGAAATGTAAGGGCTTATTTTCATTGTCTTAATAAAATAATGAATGCAATGCATTTCACTTATACCGTGTTTTCTATTTTTCATTTTTCTTTTCTTTCATTTCCATCCTCTTTGCCTTTGCCAAGATTAGTATATATTTCTTTATGATTACACCCATTTTTAGGTTTTCTAATAATGAACATTATGGATGACCAAGGCAATAACACCGGGTTTGATTTTAAAAATTCTACTCATGTTAGCGAGCTTGATAATGATGTTGATTCAGAAGACTATGATTTACCTCATGACCTATTGAAATGGATGAAATAAGAGAATAAAATTATAGAACCCCACCAGGAATCAACTGATCCATTAAATTTAGGAGATGGTGACAATAAGAAAGAAGTTAGGATCAGTACTTCACTACCACTGATTGAAAAGCAAAAGTTGGTGAATCTGCTGTAAGAGTACATAGATGTATTTGCATGGTCTTACCAGGATATGCTAGGACTTAGCACAGAGGTGGTTGAACATAGGTTACCTTTAAAACCAGAATGCCGACCAGTACAGCAGAAGTTGAGACGCATGAAACCAGAAATGTTACTGAAGATAAAAGAAGAAGTAAAAAAGTAATTTGACACTGGTTTCTTAGATGTAGCCAAGTGCCCTGAATGGGTAGTCAATATAGTCACAGTTCCCAAGAAAGATGAAAAAGTTAGAATGTGTGTGGACTATCGAGATTTAAATAGGGCTAGCCCAAAGGATAATTTTTCATTGCCACATATTGATACCCTTGTGGATAACACTACTAAGCACTCCATTTTTTCATTCATGGACGGGTTCTCTGGCTATAATCAGATCAAAATGGCTCATGAAGATATGGACAAAACACATTTGTGACAATATGGGGCATGTTTTACTATAAAATTATGCTTTTTGGGCTGAAGAATGCTGGTGTCACATATCAAAGGGCGAAGGTCACTCTCTTTCATGATATGATGCGTAAGGAGATAGAGGTATATGTTAATAATATGATAGCTAAGTCTCAGAAAGGGGAAGATCATGTTGTTAACCTCAGAAAGCTTCTTGAAAGATTACGGAGATACCAGCTTAAGCTGAATCTAGCCAAATGCACCTTTGGTGTTAAATCTAGAAAATTGTTAGGGCTTATAGTCAATGAAAGAGGTATAGAAATAGACCCTGATAAAATTCAAGCCATTCAAGAATTGTCAGCACCACGCATACAAAAAGAGGTGAGAGGCTTTTTGGGGTAATTGAATTATATTTCTCGCTTCATATCCCAACTTACCTCAAAATGTGATCCAATCTTCAGGTTGCTTCATAAATATAATCCTGGTGAATGGGATGAAGAATGCCAAAATGCATTTGAAAAGATTAAAGAGTATTTGATAAGCCCACCGGTGTTGGTCCACCAGTTACAGGAAGATCATTGATTTTATATCTAACAGTTCAAAAAAAATCGATAGAATGTGTATTGGGGCAAACAGATGAAACTGGCAAGAAAGAGCATGTTATATACTATTTGAGTAAAAAATTTACAGAGTACGAGGCCAAGTACCCCCAAATAGAAAAAATATGTTGTGCCACAGTTTGGACTACTCATAGACTCAGGCAATACATGCTCTACCATACAACATGGCTAATATCGAAATTGGATCCCCTTAAGTACATTTTTGAAAAACCATCTTTATCAGGCAGGCTAGTAAGATGGCAAGTCATGCTCTCAGAATATGATATTCTGTATGTGACATAAAAATCCATAAAAGAGAGTGCAATTGTTGATTTTCTTACCGATTGAACTATAAAAGATTATGAACCTATGAAGTTTGAGTTTCCAGATGAAGATTTGATGGCAATCTTGCAGGATGAAAATAAAGAGCCTGTAAGAGAAGTATGGAAAATATTTTTTGATGAGGCATCCAATATAATGAGGCATGGCATTGGAGCAGTGCTAATATCTCCAGAAGAGAATTACTACCCCTGTACCATAAGGTTAGATTTCAACTACAGAAATAATGTTACTGAATATGAAGCATGCATCATAGGGTTACAGATGGCCATTGAAAAGAAAATTAAAACACTAAAAGTATATGGGGATTTAACCTTGGTAATTTATCAACTAAAAGGTAAATGGGAGGCCAGGGACTTGAAACTAATGTTATATCAAAAGCACATAACTAGCTTGATGAAACATTTTAAAGAGATCCAATTTCAACATGTTCCTTGAGAAAAAAACCATATTGCTGATGCTTTAACTACTTTGGCAGCAATGTTCAGGTTAAATAATAGTATAGGAATTCAATCCATTAGAGTAAAAATAAAAATTTCACCAGCCCACTGTTCAAACGTGGAAGAAAATGTAGATTGACAACCATGGTAGTATGACATTGTACAATATATCAAGTGTCAAAACTACCTAGAGCAGGCTTCAAAAAGTGATAAAAGGATATTCAAAGATTAGTAGCAAGTTTTATGCTTGATAGAGAAATCTTGTATAAAAAGAGTCGAGATCAAATTTTGCTAAGGTGCATCAATGTTGTGGAAACAAGAAGGATACTTGAAGAAGTACACAAAAAAATTTATGGAACACATGCTAACAGGCATATAGCCAAATAGATTATGAGAGCTGGTTACTACTGGTCTATAATGAAAAATGATTGCATCAGTTATGCTAGAAAGTGTCATAAATGTCAAATTTATATAGATATAATTCATTCCCCTTCAGTCTCACTATATGTCTTGGCACCACCATGGCCTTTCTCTATGTGAGGAATGGATGTGATCGGACCCATAACCCCAAAAGCTTCAAATGGGCATCGATTTATCTTTATGATAATCGATTACTTTACAAAATGGGTAGAAGCAGCTTTGTATGCTAGTATTACGTGATCGGTGGTATGTAGATTTATAAAAAGAGAGATAATATGTCGGTATGGGCTTTCGAAAAAGATCATCTCAGATAATGCTAGCAATTTGAACAATAAAATAATGAAAAAATTATGTGCACAGTTCAAGATCAAGCATCATCATTTAGCACCATATCGCTCAAAAATGAATGGTATAGTGGAAGCTGCAAATAAAAACATCAAGAGAATACTAGAAAAAATGACTAACACATATAAGGATTGGCATGAAAAGTTACCTTTTGCTTTGCTTGCCTATAGAACATCAATCCAAACCTCTATAGGGGCCACCCCATTAGTGTATGAGATGGAAGTTGTATTGCCAATTGAGGTGAAAATTTTTTCTCTGAGGATGTTGATGGAGATAAAATTGGATGAGGTAGAATGGGCTCAGGATCGTTTCGAGCAACTGAATCTTATTGAAGAGAAAAGGCTCTCAGCACTCAGTTATGGATAAATGTATCAAAGAAGAATCATGCGAGCACATGACAAAAGGATACGACCCCGATGCTTTTACGAGGGCAAATTGGTTTTGAAAAGGATTTTGCCATGTTAGCATGACAATAGAAGAAATTGGACGCCCAATTGGGAAGGTCCATATGTGGTAAAAAAGGCTTTTTTTGGTGGAGCTCTGATCCTTGCAAAAATGGACGGAGATAAATTACCAAATCCTATAAATTTGGACACTATCAAGAAATGCTTAAAAAATACAAAAAATATAAAAAAATACAAAAAAAAACAAAAAGCAAAAAAAAAGTGATTCAGATTGAAAAACCCGAAAATGATGATTTGAATAAAATGAGGGTCATTTGAGCTGAAAACCTGAAAAGGCAGTTTGAATGAAGGTGGGGCTCAGATAAAGTCTTTCAAATAACGAAAGAGTGACACCAAATGGACGAATTGTCACCAGAATTAAAAGACATAACTTTTAGGGGGCAAGTTCTCATTAGTCACAGATGTGGGGCAAGGATTGGTCATATGAAATCACAGGGGACAAGATCGTAAATGTAACGAGTTTTTGTAAAAGACCTGGTCTAAGTAGGCTGAGGTCATCCAAATGTTCATTATTTAGAGAATTGCTATTTGATTCTTGAAATACTCTTGAGTAAACTGTTTTTTATGTCTCAAAAGGCTTATCTTTCTAAACACCGATGTACCCCATTAATGATCGTGTTTCACACCCAATTTTGAATCGAAAATCATTGCATTTATCATTTAAAATTAAGATAATGATTGATAAAATTCATAATGGACCAATGCATCGCTCAAAAAGAGAATACAATATAAGGATGACAGAAATAATAATATGGGGTTAGAAAGAATGAAATGAGATTGATTGATCACTGAAGACAAAGAAAGAGAAAAGATAAAGAAAGAATTCAAAGAAGATTTTTAGAACAACTAAAAGCCAAATGGGTCCACTAGAAGATAAATTTTTGGAGGAGAATCGAAAGACTTAGAAGGGTAGGACTATTGGAAGCGACTTTTAAAGATTGAAAGAATTGAACCAAAAGTTGAATTAACTTGGATGAAAACGCATGATATAATTCATTGGTTGCATCTTTATCCTTTCAATCATCATAATTATTACATGCATCACATACCTCTTGGTAAGTTGCATAAAAGGTTTCTTTATGAAACATCAGGAAGAAGTCCTCTTTTTCAAAACAAATATGATGGCCTTGAAGGTAATATGTTACCTCCAAGATAATTCTTAAAACCAAACTGTCAGTTTATGGAGTACCCAATCCCCTATTTCTCAAATCATAGCTCAGTTATGGTTATTTTTATTTCTCTGACTTGCGGTTCAGTCTCAGTCATCGTTAATCTTTTATTCGTGATTTAATCTTGATCATTCCTATAGCTTCTCGACTTATGGTTTAATCCTAGTTGCTTTTATTTCTTTGACTTACGGTTCAATCTCAGTTATCTTTAATCTTTGACTCATGGTTTAATCCCGATCATTCTTATAGCTTCTCGACTTACAGTTTAATCCTAGTCGCTTTTATTTCTTTGACTTATGGTTCAGTCCCGGTCGTCATTAATCTTTGACTTGTGATTTAATCTCGATCATTCTTATAGCTTTTTGACTTACGATTTAATCCTAGTCGCATTTATTTCTTTGACTTGCGATTCAATCCCGGTCGTCGTTAATCTTTGACTCATCTTGACTTACGGTTTAATCCTAGTCACTTTTATTTCTTTGACTTGTGGTTCAGTCTCGATCGTCATTAATCTTTGACTCATGGTTTAATCCCGATCATTCTTATAGCTTATCGACTTACGGTTTAATCCTAGTCGTTTTTATTTCTTTGACTTACGATTCAGTCTCAATTATCTTTAATCTTTGACCCGTGGTTTAATCTTGATCATTCTTATAGCTTCTCGACTTACAGTTTAATCCTAGTCGCTTTTATTTCTTTAACTTACGATTCAGTTTTTAACTCGTGATTTAATCTCGATTATTCTTATAGCTTTTCGACTTACAGTTTAATCCTAGTCACTTTTATTTCTCTGACTTATGATTCAATCCCAGTTATCTTTAATCTTTGACTCATGGTTTAATCCTAATCATTTTTATAGTTTTGAATTATGATTTAATCCCAGTCTTCTTATTTTTTAATTTACAGTCTAATCCCAATCTCTTTATATTCTAACTCGTGGTTCAATCCCGATCTCTTTAAATCCAAAAATCACAGTTTAATCTTGATTGATGTTATTTTGACTCATGGTTTAATCTCGATTTCTTTAATCCAAAATCATAGTTTAATCTCGATTGTTGTCTTTATTTTTGGAGTCATAGTTTAATCCCGGTTAATCTCGATTGTTGTTATTTTTTGACTTGCGATTCAGTCCCAATTATCTTAAATCTTTGACTCGTGTTTTAATCCTGATAATTTTTATAGTTTTCAAATTACGGTTTAATCCTACTCCTTATTTTCTAATTTACAGTCTAATCCTAATCTCTTTATATTCTGACTCGCAGTTCAATCCCAATCTCTTTAAATCAAAATTCACAGTTTAATCTCGATTGTTGTTATTTTCTGACTCATAGTTTAATCATGGTCGCTTTTATTTTCTAACTTGTGATTCAATCCAACTTGATGTTATTCTGACTCACGGTTCAATCTCGATTTCTTTAATCCAAAATCATAATTTAATCTCGATTGTTGTTTTTTTCTAACTCGTAGTTTAATCCTGGTCTCTTTATATTTTGACTTGTGATTCAATCTAAGTTCAATCCTAATCTTGTTTTCCTTTACCCGCGGTGTTACCTCGATCATTTTCTTTATTATCCGACTTGTGATGTTGCCTTAATTGTTCCTTATTTTTCAACTCGCGATGTCATCTTGGTCATTTTCTTTATCACTCGAACTGTGGTTAAAAATTTATCAAAAAAAAATAAAAGAAAAACTTTTGAGAAATCCATGATTTGCTTTCGGACAAAATCATTGTCTTTGTCTTTGCCATATTCTTGATTCTCAGTAATGTGCAAAAAGGGGCAACTGTAGACATCGATTTTGTTTGGTATATTTTTTTATATATATATAGAACAATAATGATTTTAATAATAATAATAAAAGTAATGTGCAAAGAGGGGCAACTGTAGACATCGATTTTGTCCAGTATATTTATATATATAACAATAATGATTTTAATAATAATAATAAAATTGGTTTAATTAAAATTAAAAATCAATTAATTATTAAAAAAACAGAACAGAACAGAAAAAAGAAAAATCGAAAATGGCAGTGGTGCTTTCCCCGGCACCATTGCCACCAGGCCCTACACCTCACCCTTCTGATCACCATACCCTACCCTCCACCCCTCTGATCACTCATCTCGCTGACAGCCACTACCCTCACTGTCAAATAAGATAGAAACAAATGATAGGGCATGGGACTCGTGCTTACACCCCATGCCGAGCGTTGTGCCCTTCCCTCAAGCACACACACGGCCAAAGCTCTATAAATAGAGTTCCTAGCCAAACCAAAAAATAGACAGAGAGGGAGTGACACTGTAAAAAAAAATAAAAAAAAGAAAAAAAAACACAGTCCTCCCCGTAGGGAGAAAACTCGGTGCTGAAGCTCCCTGCAAGAACAAAAAATCATATCAGTCTTCGTTTTACAAAAAAAAAAAGAGAAACAGCAAACTTAAAAAAGTTCAAACCCTGATCTACGTCGATCGGGGCTTGTTCTCCTAGAAATGACCTCAGATCTGAACTCAGGAGGTCGAGAGGTGCATTGCAGTGAATTTTAGTAATTTTTTGATAACCAGCGATCACTGGTGACTGTCGTAATGGTTTTGGGACTGTCAGACGTAA